CAATGTACCCTGCTCGTTCCTGTTTGTTATTACAAAAACCACGTCCAACTTTGTCGGCGGCAAATATGCTGACCGACACCATTGTGCCGGACATACCGTTCAGACATTTCTTGGCATAACTCTTGGCGGCTGAGCCCTCCTTTGGTAGTGATCTTATAATGAGAGGTAAAATAAATAGACATTAATATTGATTTAAGGATAGTTGTGAAAATAGTTGTCATCTTGATTGTTTTATAAATATGTGGTATTTATATATTTTCTTAAAATGCGCATATTTTTTGTGTGCATATAATTTAAAATTTGATATTTATTTTGTGTGGTTATTATGTTATGATTTTATTTATCAAAAATATATATTCAAAATGTTCACGACTTTCCTTATAAAAGTTATTGATAGAGAGAGAGAGAGAGAGAGAGAGAGAGAGAGAGATTCAAGGATATGTTGTATGTCTGTATATACTTGTATGCAAACAGATATACTGCTAGAAAAAAATTAACTTATATAAAAAATTATTTTTGATTAATTTATATAGAAATTTAATGTGATATGTATTATGAATTATAACGACAATAAATAAATGATGTAAAATAAGTGACAATACTTGCACCAGGACTGCATCTCTGTCTCAGTCTCCGGCCATTTGTTGTCTCTCATACCAAACTGTCCCAGAATTGGCCTCAGCTTTGACTCCAATTGACTGGCGATATATGAAGTGTTTGTTGAGCACAGGTATGGGTGGATGTGTTGGGGAATGGTATATAATGAGCACAATTTAGTAATTAATAAATTTAATTAATATATTATTTTAGGATAAATAATTTGCATTAAAACAATCAAACCTTAAACGACACGCTTTAGTCTCTTTTATAGCCAAACAATAATCGTTTAACAAAAACATTAACAAAACTGCACACAAAATACTATACATTGTTATTATTATTAAATAATTTTAACCGCAAAAATGATCTTGATAATAATTTTCTAGTATTCAAAAGTCAGTACTGTATAGCGATCTAACACTATCTCAATGACTACACTATACCACTAGACATGCGATTTAAGGCATACACTAAACTATTAACTTATTTTCAATGGTATTTCAAATGTTAATTCAAATACCGATTAGTATTTCAAATCACTTCTGATAGATCTGTCATTCAATATAATAATTATAATAAAACTTTTTAGCGAAACATGTATTCATAAAAATTACTGCAAAAAAACTTGTTTTTCAGTCACTAATGCAATTAAACATTAAGAAAAACTCATTTAATATTACACTAAACAAATATTTACCGTACATTTGTCTGCACCCCTGGGATATGGGGGGACTGAGGGGTAGGACAAATAGCAGGTAATTATTAGGCGGCAAATAAATGGCTAGAGTAATATTCAAATATAAACAATTATCATAATAATGTGAATTACATGCAAAATTTTGACCCTTATATAAAAATTATACTAGGTTATACAAATTAAAACACCCAATACTGGTCATCCCTGGCATTCAATGTCTACAACACTGATTTAAATGTCATTTCAAGGATAAGTACCATGATTAAATCACGATGGGTAAATTTTTTAAAGTTTCCATATTTAGAAACCTTAATTACAAGTTTAACTATAAAAATATGAGTAACATGTTTAACAATCACTCCATACAATAAAAATTATGTTATGCTAAAACAATGTTGCTTAAAAATTTAATATATAATTAAATTAAATTATATGTTTTGCTCTAGCTACCATTTGTATAATAATTATTAACGTTTCTTAAAACAAATAGTGTATTGTTTATTAGCAATACTAAATAAATGATAAATTAGCATATAATTTTAAAATGATTTTAATAATTACACATTTATATAATCTTTTGTTAATTTATGTAATTGAGTTTAAATTATTAAGTTCAAATATATATCAATATACAATTAAATGTCAAATAATAATTTAAAATCGATTGACCCTGTTATGCAAGGCATGGGAAAGTTTTAAGTTTGTTTTATTGTTATTATTTCTAACTATTTATTATGGGAACATTTTATTTTTGATAAATTTTTATAATTATTTTTATTATTGTTTAATTAAATTAAAATTTTCACACAAAAAAATCAACTCAATTAATTTGTTTAGTAAAAAATGAAAGTTATAAAACAAATATTTAAAATTTTAATTAACAAATTGCTCAATTAATAAAAGTACTTGCATAAATAAAAATATAAGCTAATTATTTTAAATAAAAACACTTACCTTAATCGACAACCTTTGATTTGAGATGATAGACAGGACTTGTGCGCTATTGATAGCACCAGTACTGTTGAAATCAGTATTTTATACATGATATTAATATATGATATAAACTAATAATAAAATATTTAAACTGTTTGTTGTAAAATAAAATTAAAATAGTATCTCAACAAAACACAATTGCAAACTAATCCAAATTAATCTACAAAGCACATTCAATGGCACACTAACTAAGCATGTAGTAAAAAGTTATCATAGGCTAACACCACCGCTATTTATACCAAGTTTACTCCATCAGAACAACCCATCAGTCCTTAATAGCAACAAAATAAATACTAAATCATGTATTAATTAATTACGTTTTAATCCGTAATCCCATTGAATACAATGACAAAACCCCTACATATTTGTGTACGTATTTGAGTGAATTTGATTAAATTAATTGTTTTATGTTTAACACATGAAATTATCATGTTTTCAAAGTTATATAAAAAGTTATTTTACTTTTCAATTGGCAGACAATTTATTAATTAAATCATAATATTATTACACATCATATGATTGTATAAAATCATAGATTAAATAACTTTGTTTTAAAGGTTTTGTAGAAATGAATTATTATTATTACTGTATTGAAAAGGTTAGGAAAATACCATTGATTTCCGTGTAGTTTATTATTATGTATGCAATTGTAATCTCAAGGATTAGTATTGGAGTTAATATATAATCGGCGATATAATTGTTAGATAATACAATCTACAATTAATTCATTATAATAATTGTATGACATATCTTAAAATGTACAGTAGCAATAGTTTTGTAAATTGTAAACTGTATATAATATATAGATGGTAAAAATAATTTTATTTTGCTTGTTTATTTTAATAATATTGGCATTAAAAGTTCGCTGTGTTAATAAGTATTGTTAACAATATGATAAAATTTATGTTTATTGGGCAGCCTTATTATTATTTTAAAAATAGGTTTTATAATTAATTGACTCCGGTAAGTTAAAAATAAATATAACACATAAATTACCATGATGTAAATCATGTAACAAAGGTAGAAATCACCAATGGTCCAAATGACATTCACCAACATAAATGCCAAGCACATAGAAACGCATTACGCGTAAAATATTTCATTCACAGAAAATATGAACGATTAAGGTCATAATCTCTGATGGCATAATCTCATTGCCGTAATAGTAATTGTATGGGTATTTCTCCTGAATTTTCTTTTTACAAAGTTCATTATCTGCTCAAAACCACAGCTGACACTGACAGCCAGATTAGATAACAACCAAAATGTTAGTTATTTTTTCATTGAGCATTTCACCGACCTTATTTTTAAATTTTTGTACAAAATGCATTTACGCATATGGATTGTACGTAAACGCAATTTGATGGACGTACTAACAACGTGGTAACATTGAAGTTATAACTTTAATAAAATTAATATTTATGAAACTAGATTTAAAAATAAGTTGTAGATTTATTTACATATATAAACATTATTACTTCAATAATTTTTATACAGAATAATAGGAACTAAAAAATTGTGTTTAGGTAAACTAGTAAATTAATACATTTTAAAGCATATAATCAAATTAATATATTATACTTATCAAATTAGATAATTAATAGCTTCTAATATTAAATGTACAGTTTGAACATTATTTTTAAAATGTTTATTCTAACATAACATAAAATGTTAAAATATATTTTTGCATTATTTTGTACTTTAAAACTGTAAATAAAATAATAATTAATTTTTATTATTTACTAAAATAAGTTTTATAATGAATAATTGGGATGTATATAACGATGAATATTTTACTATTATCACGTATAATTAAATATCGTTTCTTGTCAGGCACAATGTGAAAGATTTTGTAACAGTATTTGTAATAGATTATTTATAAATTTTTCAAAATTTTTTAATAATTTGATTTATAATAAAAATTACATTTTTAAATTAAATATTTGTAAATAAGCAAAATAAATAATTAATGACAATAGATTAACTTTTAAAATATTAACTAATAATGTTTAAGCTCAATTAAAAAAATTTCTATTAAGAAAAATATGCCAAAACTCAAACGGATGATAATCGTTACGTAAAATGAGCCTGACAACTGGATTATCCATAATATCATTAGGGTGCAACATAACCTGTTCAACCAATTGCCAAATACGTTGAGCATTGGGTCTATGGGCCCAATCGGGACTATTTTGGGCCGCAATTAGCACATCAAAAAGTGCCGCAATTATTTCATCCGGCATACCAGGTATTGTAAAACCAATTTCATCACGGCTGTTTATGTTTATAAAGTAATAAGTAATTATTTTAGTTTACTATTCATAAATTGTTATCATATTCAAATATTTATTAATATCACCACGTTTAGAACAAATTCGGCTAGTGATGCATACATCCTAGTTAATTTATCTATATTTATATTGTAATTATTACACATACGTGCACCTGGAAGTTATCGTAGTTTTATGTTAATACTTACATTGATTATCATGTCCCTAATTTATATACTTTATTAAATTCTTATTTCAAACATTGGATTTTTATTTTATTTTATATCTTTATAAATTATAATAAATAAATAGTCAATTTACAACAAAAATTGAACTTACTCAAATAAATCCACATTAAATATATCAAGTTCACCAATGACCGACAAACTATACACATCGACCAATTCATTATATTTACGTTGGCGAATCATTTCAGGAGCCGTATATTTGCTCATGGGCAAACATATAT